GGCGTATCTGGGCTCCTTGCAGCCATCTCGGATACATGTTGGGTCGTATTGGGCGCTCCAACGACCCGCGGCTACCTTCCCGCGCAGGAAGGATTGGGCGGGGAAATGGGGAACCGTGTCTATGAAGGGGAAGAGTGGGCTTGGATGAATTACTTCGTCACGCCGCTCACGCTTAAAGGGGTGCTGGGATTCCTGTCTCCCTCCGGCCCTCTCCTGCGGCGTGCCCCTCCACTCCCTGTGACTTCTCCCCCCCCCCCCGCCCTCCTTCCAGGCTCCGCGCGCGGCCTAGTGAAAACTTCGGGGAGAAAAACAAAAACTCGTTTTGAATACCTCTCCGAATTCTTGGTGGATTTTTCCTTGGGCGCGCGCATCGAAAAAACACGCGCGGAAAAATCCGGAGGACACCCGGAAAAATTCACGCGGCTTCCGGGGCAAATTCACATTTGGATTTGGAAAAATCCGGGCAGAATTCACTCGAGAATCCGGGATATTATTCCCACGCGGCCGTGGAAAAATCCCACCAGCCATGCAGAGCGTGGGTGGTGGTTTAACGGGCTAGCTTATCCGCGCGTTTCTCCCTGGCAGGGACGGGCCCCCCCCCGCCCCCCCCTGGCAGGGACGTGGACAGAGAGTGACCGCGGGGCGGTGGAGTGCCCGAAATGGCCGAAGATGGCTCCAAAGGAACCGCAGGCAACCCAAGAAGGATTCCGAGATCGCTCCAGATACTTGCAGATGGTACAATTTTGCTTCCAATGCGCCTCCAAGCCCCCTCAAGACCGCTTCGTGACAGCCCGCAATTGTCTGTCGAGCTCTTGAGGGAGGCCTCCAACAGGTTCAACTCCTTTACAATCACTGTGCGCTTCAATTTGTTTCTTCTCGCCTTTTTGCTTTCCGTAGTTTCTAGAGGCCTCGAGATGGCTGCGAGTTGGTTTGAACTTGCTTTGAGAGGGGGCCATCAGGGCCCAACTCGGCTCCAAGAGCACCAAAGTTGGGCCCAAAACGCTTCAAGGGCGTCGCAAGAGGGCCGCATTTGGCGACTGGGGGGCTCGAGAAAGAATGGGGCGTTGCTAGGGCCCCACTTCTTTGACCGACGGCTTCAAGATGGCCCCAGGAGGACCCCCAAGGCTTCCAAGAGGGACCCAGGAGACCCCCGAAACGACCCGAAGAGGGCCCCATGGGGCTCCAAGACAGCCGCCAAAGGCAGCCAGAATTGCCCTAAGAGAGCGCCGCGGCGGCACTGATATGACGACGTTGATGGGGCGTCCCGCAGGCACCTAAAGCGAACGACTCGAGATCCTCGATGATTGATGCCCGTCGTCGTCAGCGTGTTTGTTTCCTCTCTATCCTTTATATTTCCCTTCCTTGTTCTCCTCCTCCTCGTCCCTCTTCTGTGACCTCCTCCTTTTTTTCTGCTCCCTCCCCGTTCCTGCGCATCTTCCGATTAAGTACTCCTGCGCCCTTTTCTTTTCCCTAATGTAACGGTTGTCCTCGTTGTTTTGTCTTGCGCTGCACGTTGCTTCACTTCGCTGTCATGCTTAGCGCAACTTTCTTGGGATTCGAGTCTGCAAATGCTTTCTTCTGCATGTTCTTGCCCCTCCTATTCCCCCCTACTTCCTCCTGCTCCTTGATCCCCCCACCTCTTCCTACACCCTCGCTGGTGAGGGCGCGCGGCGCACGCGCGTTCCGCACGGATCACTGGCGCGCCTTTTGCCTCCCTCAGGCTTCTTGTGCTTCTTCCTACCTCCCCCAAGCTCCTCTTCCGTATTCCTACCTGCTCATGCTCTTGCGCGTTTCCAGTCTTTCCCATCACCATACTCCCTCTCTTCACCGTGTTCATTATGATTTCCATTTCCGCCCTCCTCTCCTTTGCTCCGCTTCCTGCACCTCATCATCCGCGAATGCGGATGCGGCTCGCTATTTTCGCCGCTTGCCCGATTACCCGGCCTTGATCAGGGCGACTCGCCTTGCGGTTGTTCATGGATTGGCTCGTGAGGATTTGAGCAACGCGTCAATGACTTCACCGGGCGTCTAGGTGTTATTGTTGGCGCCCGGGCGTTGCCGCTGGGGTTTGCCACGGGCCAGTATGATTTACAATTGCAGCCGGCGCGTTGGCAGGCATTCGCCTTCCTGGAGACATCTGTCTGGTTTCGCAGTGACCTTCTTTCGCATTGCTCTTGTTTCTTTGCCTCCAGTTTGCGGTTGTATGTTTGTAGCCCTTGGCTGAGCTCCATCAGACGGCTATAATTCCGCTGCCCTCGCTCGATGTATGACCGCCCCCGTGCGATGAGGAAGAATCAAGGGCACTGAAGACATTCGAAATTCGCCGGCCACGCGGCATTCACACGAACGCCCGAGCCACATGATCGATTGACGTGCGCATATCAGAAAAAAAGAAAATAAAAATGAAAAACGAAGACGCCAATCCACGCTGAATTCACTCTTAGCACCGGCGAAACCAACACCTTGCCCCAGCCGGCCAGCGCGCGCGAGGTGCGCGGGAGTGCGCCCGCTCCCCAGCGGCCCAGGTCCGGGTAGAAGAACTTCATGGCTGCGACCAGCTTGCTGGCGTCGTCGCCCGCGAAGCCCCCGAAGGACAGCTTGTCCAGGAAGAGAACCGGGCAGACGCCCAGCTGCTCGTAGTTCTGCCAGCCCAGGCGGTCCGAGGTCACCCAGTTGAGGAAGGTCAAGGCCCGGCGGCGGTAGTCCTTGTAGGTCGCCGGCGCCACCGACCGCCCTTCCAGGTAAGACAGCTCGGCCATGGTCGGGAGGGCGAAGGGCGACGGCGGCAGCGGCAGGCAGCGCCGGCGAGCCGCCGCCTGCGACGCGCTCGGAACCCGCGATTGCCCCGCCTGCCACGCGGAGGCATCCGGCACCAGCGTCCACATCGCGTGAGGCCCCGCTCTCGCCGAGGGCGGGAAACGGGGGGATTGCTGGCAGCGCGCTGGGGGCAGCATCAGCAGCCGCGGCGCCAGCAGCAAGGCAGACGGTCTCCGGCTCGGCCGCGGGCTTGACGCAGAGGCGACCTCGCGATGGGTAGTCCGACGGATTGCGCTCCGAAGGGGCCCATCGGACCGAGAGTCGGACCCCGCAAGCCAAGGGCAGAGCGCAAATTTCTCGAAGCACGTCTCGGATCTGGAAGGCCCCCGACCGCCCCTTGACGACTGCAGGAGCAAGCCCGAGATTGTCGGCGAAGATGAGCAGCCGACGGCCGAAAGCAGCTCGGCTGCGAAGCAAGCGCCGAAGAGCCGAGGACAGAGCCAGTCCCTCGAGGCGTAGGATGTTAGCATCGGCCCTCCATTGGAAGCTCTGAGCCACCTGCCAGCGGTCGGGCTGCGTGAACGCGGCGTCGACCGGGTCGAAGGAGCCCGCCTCCGCGCGCGCCTGGAGCAGCCCAGCGGCGAAGCCGATCGCGTCGCCCAGGGCGGCCGAGTCGGACTCGATGCCGGCAACCGCGCCCGCGGCCAAGGCGCCCTCGGCAAGGAACGCGCGGTCGCGAGCGGCGGCGGCGCCCGTGACACGACGCCGCCAGCGCTCGGCGACGCGGCCGACGGCAGCGGCCTCGGCGGGCTTGCAGTGCCGGCGGCAAACCCCGCGCCCCCAGTGCGAGGCGTCGCTGGCGGCGACCACGTCATGCCAGCGGGCGCCAGTGTCCGCGACCAGCAGCGGAAGCAAGCCCATGACCACAATCAGCTCGCGCCGCACAGAGGGCCACAGCTCCACCAGGCGCCCCTTGCCGCGCCGCGCGAAGGCGTAAACGGCGGACAGCGCGGACAGCGAGCAGCGCTGAATCAGCATGACCCAGGTGAGGCGGCCGATCAGGAGCGCCCCCTGGCCAAGAGCTCGGTCAGGGCGGCCTTCAATGCCAAGCCCGCTTGCGCGACACGCGCGCCGTGTGGCTGGCGCCGCCCAGCTCGAGCCCCACGAACTGCGCCTGCGTCGAGACGCCCGTCTCCTCGTGGACTATGAAGCCCGAGTCGGGGAAGGAGCTGGCCACGCGCCGGCCACTGGAAGCAGCGGCCTGTCGGGCCCCCCCCATCGCCAGGAAGTTGCCCACGTAGGCGGCGCCGTGGGGCGACTGCGGCGCCAGGGGCGCGGCGGCGGCCCTGTCGCTGACGAGCCGCTCGCCCGGCAGGCCACCTCGCTGGGCGCCCTCCTCAACCGCGAGCTAGCAAAGGTGAATGGCCCAGCTCCAGCCCATCGGGAGGACGGAGAGGCGCGGCGCGAGCCAGTCGCCGGGCCGCGTCGAGCGGCCGTTGACGGGCGGACAGCCCACAGCTTCGGCACGCACCGATCAGGGATCGCGATGGCGTAGAAGGCGTTCGGGATGTCGCCCGCGTAGAAGTAGCAGACGTCGCAATCGGCAGTCTCGAGCCGACTGCAAGCCGCCGCCGTGGGCAGCTGCGCGCGGGGCGGCGGCGAGAAATCCAGGTTCGCCCATCGAGTGTCGAAGGTGATCCGCTGGGCGCCGCTCTTCTTGGCCACCATGAACACGCCGAGAGACGGCGGCCGACGCGAGGCGGCGGCGAACCGCACCATGCCGCGGGAGTACAGCTGCTTGATGAGGCCCGAGTAGTGTGAGGAGGTGCGGAAGGCAGGGTCAGAGTTTGGGCGCGCCAATCCCAGCTCCTTGCGAAGGCGGTCAGCGTCGTCAGTGCTACGACGCGAATTGGCCAATCGATCCCTCAACCGCGCGTGGTGCTCCGGGGCGAGCGCGGCGGTCAGGGAGACTGGCGCGGCACCCGCCTCGGGCCAGGAAACGAGGTCCTTGTTGTAGGGCGCGACCGGGGGGGAGCCGCCATAGGTGATGGCGCCCCCGCAGAGCTCGCGAAGGCCCCCGCGGGCACTGACGTCTCGGGGCGGGAGGCAAAGCGCGACGCGCATGTCCCTGATGTGCTCCTTGGCGAGCGCCTGGGCCGTCGAGTCGTTCTGGGCGAGCACGCTAGGCGAGCGGCCAGCAAGCGTGGTAAGGGCTGAAACCGCGTCGTTCGCCAGCTCCGCGCTATGCTGAAGCCGCTGCCGACGTCGCTGAACTGCTCGCGAGCCGCCTGGAAGCCGGGCGGGCACCTCGAGCGTGGAGAGAGGGAGAATGTCTCGCTGACGACTGGCCGACATCGACCAGGAGCGATTGGCCCGTGTTGCGAGCTCCCGCGCGCGGCCAGGGCGCAGGCAGCGGCCGTGATCTGTCGAGGTGGCCAGGCGGTCAGCCCTGCCTGCCGCTGTCGCCGCGGCGCCGGTGAGGCGGCGGCGGCTTGGCGAGCGCCCGCTCCTCCCTTGCCTTGCGGCGTTCCTTGAGCACTGCGTTCTCGGCCGCTACCTGCTCGGCGACCCACTGGGAAAGGGCGGGGCACGCCATAATGCAACTGGTGTTCTGGAGGCCCGTGAAGAACCAGCTCTCGTCGTGCTCCTGGTGCCCTGAACCCGCCGTGCCGAGGATGCGATCCTTGAGCTTCTCCACGCAGAGCTGGAGCTGGCGGCAGATGAGCTCCGTCGAAGCGGCACTGCTGACGTCCAGCTGGTCGTAGCACATCGCGGTCTGGAGGAGCTTGGACAGCTCCGAATGGAGCAGCATGGCCGGGTCGTCGAGCCCGAGGCGGCAAGCGGAGCGAAAGGCGACGTGGCGCCCCACAGCCGAACCGCCATTCTCCCGCATGAAGTTCGCGCACCAGAGGACCGTGCACGGGCGCGGCACGATCCAGTCGGGCCAGCTCTGCTGGCGCATCTCCTTGACAGCGTCGCGGAACTCCTTGTGGCGTTTGCCCTCCATGTCATAGGTGACCCGCAGGGTGTGGAAGTCGTCGCCAGCAGCAGCCTGCGCGGGACCCAAGCCGGCGGCCAGCGCGGCATGAAGGCCTCCATGGCCGGCGGCGGCGCCCGCGCCGACGCGGCCCCAGGGGCGAGGGCCCCCGCCGCAGGAGGGGCTCCGTCAGCAGCGGCGTGAGCGGCACCATGGGGCCTGCAGCGGGCCCAGGGCCAGCCAGCCCCACAGGACCAGCGAGGGCGGCCGCAAGGCCCACGGCCCCGCCTGCGGCGACCGGGGCGGCCGGCGGGCCTACTGGCGGGCCTGCGGCAGCACTAAGGCCGGCAGCGGCTGCGGCCGGGACGACAGCGTGCCCAACCCCTGCGGCGATGAGCGCGGTGTCGTGGTCGGCGGCCATCCTGACGGCAGCGGGGCGCAGCGCCGCGAAGTCGGCCAGCGGAAGCGGGGCAGCGAAGTTATACGCGGGAGTTCCGCCAGCGGCAGGCGGTGGGCCACCACCGTTGACACGACGGTACCAGGCACGGATATCGGAGTTGGCGGCCCCCTGCTCTTCGATGTGGAGATCGTTGTCAGGGGTAGTATGACCACGCAATCAGTCGGGCGCACCGCAGGCTCAGCCACAACAGTCCGGCCATGAAGGAGCGGCGGCTGCACATCGCACTCAACGAAAAGCTCATCACCCTCATTCATCTATAGACCCCTCCACCACGAGGTTGATGCTGAAGCGGCGGCCGCGTCCCCGCGGAAGCCAGCGTCGGCACTGGCCGATTGCCCTCGGGCGCTGGCGCGGGCGCGGCAGGCCGCTGGGCCTGACGGCGGCCGCAACACGCGAAGCGAGCCGCCACCCAGGGAAGCCCCTCCACGAGCAGCGGGCCCGCGAGCGAGGGGAACACCTGCTGGAGCAACGCCCGCTCGGACGGCGGAGCGCCGGCCGAGCACTGCTGGAGCAGGGCGACGAACTCCTCCACCGAGGGCGCGCACTGCTCCACGATCGGATCCGCGCACGGCGGAGCGGGCGGGAACCAGAAGGCGCAGTCCTCGGCCGAGGGCGCCTCAGGCTCCGGGGCGGCCTCCGCGGTGGTGGCGGCGGCGGGCCGCCGGCGAATCCTGGGTGGGCAGCTGGGCCCAAAGCAATCCAGGCCAGGAGGAAGCCGAGAGACGCGAGGCTTGCTTCCTCTGGCCGCATCTCGAGAGAAAAAGGCTATGGAGCAGATGCAAATGTGAAAGCCTGTGGGCGAAAGCATCTGGCGGCTCTCATTACGCTTCAGGATTAAAGTTCGGAGAACGACCATCATAAGCATTGTCATCGTCATCGTCATCGTCATGGCCATGGTCATCGTCATCACCACCACAACAACAATATTGTAAAAACTCGACAGGAACCCTGGGCAACAATTTGCTGCGGCATGCTTCGAGCCGGGATGGCCCGAAACGAGGCAAGCCCGCCCGCTGTGACAAAAACGCGACGCCAACCAGGGGGATCTCAGGGTGGGACTTCCCGCTCGGCACGAGGCGGCGGGGGATGCGAGCCTCCGTGCGGATCGTGCCCCCGCGGTCCCCTGGGGAGCCTCCGCATCCGCGGCCCTACGGGGAACTTTTGTTCGCGGGCGGATGCCTCGCGCGGAACGCGCCCTGGAATGCAGTCCGCGAGGGCGCGGGTACGAATAGTGTTCGCCGCTCGTGATTCAGCATGGGGGAAACGGGTCCTGAGGGACAGAGGCCCTGGACTCCCCCGGGACTGATGTTTCATCCCGAGTCGTTTCTGGCAGTCCTGGGGACGGTGGAGGGCCACGAGAGCCCGAAAACGGCAAAAAACTCAGGACCCGGACCCGTTTCCCCCATGGCGAATCATCGACGCGAGGCGGCAGAGGATGTGAGCCTCCGTGCGGATCTCCTCCCCCCCCCGTCGGCGGCCCTCAAGCGCATAGCCGCGCTCGCGCCGCCTGTAATCTCGCCGCTCTTCGGGGCGTAGCCCTCGCTGCTGGCCCCCGCGAGGAAAGACAGAAGCATCTGCCGGGCGGGGGCCCGGGAGCGAGCGAACGAATGAACGACTGCCGCTGCGGGGACCTCGGTTTGTCCAGAGGCCACCCACGTGGGGTCCGAGGAGATAGGGTCGGAGGATTAGGCCGCATCGCCGATGCATCGTCGACGTCGGCGTGGAGGACATCGGGCTTCATATCGAGCCGCATCGCCAATGCATCGGCGATGCGGCTCGAACCTCAGACCCCATCTACACGGACCCCGCCTGGGAGGCCTAGAAATACTTATGATTACTCTTACCCGTCCTCCTATTATTATTAGTACTATGAATACGGAAAATAATACTACTAATCGTACGATTATCAGTAGTAGTAGTAGTAGTCGTCGTCGTCGTCGTCGTCGTCGTCGTCGTAGAAGTAGTAGTAGTAGTAGTGGCAGCAGCAGTAGTAGTAGTAGTAGTAGCAGTAGTAGTAGTGGTAGTAGTAGTAGTAGCAGTAGTAGTAGTAGTAGCAGTAGCAGTAGTAGTAGTAGTAGTAGTAGTAGTAGTAGTAGTAGTAGTAGTAGTAGTAGTGTAGTAGTAGTAGTAGTAGTAGTAGTAGTAGTAGTAATACTTGTACTAGTACTAGTGGTAGTAGTCGTAGTCGTAGTAGTAGTAGTAGTAGTAGTAGTAGTAGTAGTAGTAGTAGTAGTAGTAGTAGCAGTAAGTAGTGGTAGTCAGTAAAAGCAAAAATAGTAGTAGTAGCAGCAGCAGCAGCAGCAGCAGCAGCAGCAGTAGTAGTAGTAGTAGTAGTAGTAGTAGTAGTAGTATTAGTAGTAGTAGTAGTAAGTAGTAGTAGTAGTAGTAGTAGTAGTAGTCGTAGTATAGTAGTAGTAGTAGTAGTAGTAGTATAGTAGTAGTAGTAGTAGTAGTAGTTAGTAGTCGTAGTGGTAGTAGTAGGTAGTGGTATCAGTAAAAGCAAAGCAGTAGCAGCAGCAGCAGCAGCAGCAGCAGCAGCAGCAGCAGCAGTAGTAGTAGTAGTAGTAGTAGTAGTAGTAGTAGTAGTAGTCGTAGTCGTAGTAGTAGTAGTAGTAGCAGTAGTAGTCGTCGTAGTAGTGGTAGTAGTAGTAGCAGCAGCAGCAGTAGTAGTAGTAGTAGTAGTAGTAGTGGTGGTAGTAGTCGTAGTGATAGTAATAATAATAGTAGTAGTAGTAGTAGTAGTCGTAGTAGTAGTAGGTGTCGTAGCTGTAGTCGTAGTCGTAGTCGTAGTCGTAGTTCTACTAGTAGTAGTAGTAGTAGTAGTAGTAGTAGTGGTAATAGTCGTAGTAGTAGAAGTAGTAGTCGTAGTCTTAGTCGTAGTAGTAGTACTAGCAGCAGCAGCAGTAGCAGCAGTAGCAGTAGTAGTAGTAGTAGCAGTTGTTGTTGTAGTAGTAGTCATTGTAGTAGTAGTAGTAGTAGTCGTAGTAGTAGTAGTAGTAGTAGTAGTAGTAGTAGTAGTAGTAATCGCAGTCGTCGCAGTAGTGGTAGTAATAGCCGTAGTAGTAGTAGTAGTAGTAGTAGTAGTAGTAGTAGTAGAAGTAGAAGTAGAAGTAGTGGTAGTAGGAGTAGTAGTACTAGTAACCGTAGTAGTAGTAGTAGTAGTAGTAGTAGTAGTAGTAGTAATAATAGTAGTAGTCGTAGTAGCAGTAGTAGTAACAGTAGCATCGGTGTTTCTATTACTGTTGATTTTATTGTTACTAGTACTCGCATTACTATTATTGCTGGCATTCGTAATATTAGTCGACATGTCCTGATTTCCAGGGCACCGACTTTCTGGCATGCCAAGGCCTTTTGACAGCTCTTCGCGGGGCGGGCTCCTCTGGAGGCCGCGAGGGTTCCCCCCCGCGGTGAGCTGGGGTGCGGAGGAACATGCTGGCACTGTGCGTACCCCTTGGAGGCGCACGTCCGAACCGAGCATGTACTGGAGGCTCAGACATGGGCAACAACACCATCACCGAGGGTTGTCTCCACCAGGGGAATGTGACCCTAGATGTTGGCGTCAGTGGTAATATTTCGGCCACCTTGGAAGCCCTAAAATTACAGCAATCGGGGTCGTCTTCCCTCGGTGGAGACACATCGCCGATATTGGTGTTGGTGTCAACCTGTAAGTCTCCTTTATGTAGCACAAATATATAAGAGCACATCGCTGCCCAAGCAGTACGGCCAGAATGCGCCCGCCAACTGGCACGTGTCATAAGATTTCTCAGTGCGCGCGTCGCCCCTGGGGGGGTCGACGCACTTGTTCGTCGGCGGCGAGGCGAAATGGCTGCACCAGCGACAAAGTTAAACGGAGGCACCTGAAAGCAAACTGGCCAGCATGCACAGGAGGAGGAAGAGGACGGACAGGGCGCCGCGGAAGGGGGAAGAGACGGGGCCACTCAGAGTCGGAAGACGTCCGTCCCGAGTGAGCTGGCGCGACCGGCCTCGTCAGCGGAGACCAAAGCAGCGGGGGCCGACGCACACATAGTAGACAGTCAACCCGCATAAGAAAGACCCACGATATGGATGCAAGGGCCTTGGAGGGCCATGTCGACACCTTCCGAGCGGAGCGCGGCCTTGCGGAAGAAGCCAAGTATGGGCCGAAGGGGAAGGATGCAAGGATGGACCCGTTTCCCTCAGGACCGTTTCCCCCGTGCTAGGAAAATACGCGCGAAACGTCAACGCTTGTTTTGTATTCAAGGCTTCTGGGTTCCAGTCAGACATGAGGAGTAGGGATACACGAGAAGGATGCAAGGGCCTCGGAGGGCCATGTCGACACCTTTCGAGCGGAGCGCGGCCTTGCGAGAGTGGCCAAGGATGGGCCGAGGGGAAAGGATGCAAGGTTCCATGCGAACCCTGCCACTGGGGTCTTCGGTGGAGCTCCCCATGGGGCCACGAAGCGTGTGAGGGGTGTGCCGAAATGGGGAAATGGGGCGGGGCCCGCCATGCAAGGTTGCGCATCATTGCTGTGCGGGTCGACCGCAAGCGTGCTTGGGTGATGCGGATGCGCAGAACGCGCTCCTGGGAGGCGCGCGACGGCGCGCGGCCGCCCGCGCTCTCCAGCGGGTCGAGCCCTGCAGATCCGCATGTTTCCGACCAGCCGACGCTCTCCCTCATCTCCAGCTGCTGGCGCCGGTCATCGGACACTCCAGCGGGTCGATCCCTGTAGACCCACATGTCCGACCAGCTGACGCTTTCCTTCATTTCCAGCCGCGGGCGCCCGTCACCAGACACTCGAGCGGGTCGATCCCTGTAGACCCACATTTTTGTCCGATCGGCTGACGCTCTCCTTCGTTTCCAGCCGCGGGCGCCCGTCATCGGGCCCTGGGACCATCAGCAATGGATCGAGGAGGAACAGATAATGCTGGGGAAAGGGTGGGGAAGCGCCTTGGCACAAACGACATCGTCGGATGTCTGGAGATAGAGGACAGGCGGGAGGATGGACAGATACGGATGACGATGTACATCGGGACTCTCTGGGAGTCTGTGGGTTCGGAAGACGTCTTGGGCGCCGCTGCCACTCCAGAGGGCTCCAGGTTCGCTCTGGGAGCGCTCTCGAACGCTCTGGAGCGATGTCCTCGTGGGCCTGCCCGAGTCCTGGCGTCGGTGGGGAGCGCCCTGATCCTCCTCCTCCGCCGCTTTCTGCATGTGCTCCTTGTGACTCCAGTTGCCCCTTCCTGACATCCGCCGATATGATTTTCCAATCCGCGGCCATAGAAGTTCCAACCGCTTCCCCACAAGCAATGTTTCGTCCTGTGTCCGGTTTGATAGTCCGGGGGCCTGATGACTGGCCCCAGACGTCGACATCGAAAGAAAACACTGGGATTGAAAAGCAAAATCGTCGGAGATCTGGGTGCTCATCTCCTGGGCGTCGTCGCCAGCGAGAGGGGGACGAATGAGAGCAAAGGTCAAGTGCGACACAGGGGGCGGGGCAAGATAAAGGGGGATTGGCGCATCATGGCCCAGAGAATGTGCGCGGACGTGGGGGAGTATGTGGGGAGGGGCAGGGGACGTCATGGAAGAAGAAAGGTAAGAAGAAAAGACAAATAAGCATAATGATGATGCTAGTGGCACTTATGAATAATAGTAAACATACTTGTAACAATACTGATACGAAAAAGAAGAAGGACAACAAGACAACTAAGCAGAAGCAGAAGAGGTGGGCATGAAAGGAACTCGATCGCTTTCGTACGGCACTGCTGCTTGCGCTCAAGAGACGCGGCTAAGGGGGGTGTACAAGACAATCCTCATAATTCCGCGAAGAAGTCCAACATGATATGAAAAAAGACGACGGCATTGCGATATTTATATATATATATCATACTGAGTGTTTGTTTCGTCTCGCCATACATCCCGGCGACAATATGATAACGGATAGGCTTCGCCGTACACTGCACTATCATTAAGACTGGCAACTGTGACACGACACGCGCTGAGCGATCATGAACCGCTGTGCCGAGGACCCGCGTCCCCCATCCAGGTGTGGGGAGCAAGCTGGGGCTGCGGAAGCCGACGGCAAGCCGACCACACCGTGCCAAGATCTTCTGCAGTGCAGCTCGGGCTTCTGCTCGGCCTCCAGCAGCTGAGCTGCGAGGCGCCCCGTGGGAGGGAACCCACCCCAAACCAGCGACGCACAGCCTCCCGCAAAGCGCGGCAGCGAGCTCGATCGCTGCCATCCCCGGTGCGTACTCCGTCACGCGGAGCGGCGCCATCTTGGGCATCTTGGGCTCCTCGTGGCTGTCTTGGAGGTCTCTTGGGGCCGTGTTCGGCCCGTCTTGGGCCCGTCTTGGCCCGTCTCGGCCCGTCTCGGCGCCCTCGTGAGCCATCCTGTTCCCCTCTGGAGGTACTGCCAGGGCACCTTGGAGCCGTCGTGGGCTGTCTTCGCACTCATTTGGACTGTCTTGGGGCGTTTGGGAAGCATCTTGGCCCGTCGTAGGCGCTGCGACACCAGACAGTCGAATCTACAAAAATTGAAGAAAACCTACTCAAAATCCTGTCGCGGGCGCTCACGTGGTCTTGTGGCCATGTCTTGGGCGTCTCTTGCCAGCCTCCCGGGCCATCCGGGAAACCTCTGAAGGCTCAGAAACCTCCCAGAGCCCTGACAAGGGCCCGCTGTGCCCTAGAGCTTCAGTGGGTTGCGGGGAGGGGGGAGTTACGAAAGAGGGAACCACCCCAGGGCCTGGGAGCGGAGGAGAAGGAGCAAGCAAGCAAGACCTGGGCGGCCGCAGTCTCCGCTGTCTGGCTCACCTCCGTGTGGGTGAGTGCTCTAGCCACGACAATTGCTGCTGGTATGTTCAATGCGCATCTCGGGCAAGCCTGCGGGACCCTATGGCCCATCTCGAACCTTCAAAGCCCGCGTTAGCACGAAGGCGCACCACACTGCATTCAACTCACTAGGCGCTGAGGCGTAGAGCACTAGGCACATAACCTCAACCGGGGGCTGATGGGTGCTGGGGGAGGCCCCTCGGAGCTAGGGCCTCGAAAGCAAAGGAGGATGAGGAGGGGAAGGAGGGAGGAGGAGGGAGGAGGAGAAAATAGATATACGTTCGGCCTTCCGCGCGGATTCCTTGGATCGGCGCTGGACCCTCCTCGCTGGCGCGCGGAACGCGCCACGGGGCGGCGCCAGAGGCGCCGACAGCCGCGCGGACCTCTGACGACTTGCAGTCGAGACGTTGACCAAAGGAACCCTGAATAAGGAACGAGGCCCCTTTTCTCCATAAGTGAAACTTCGATTTCCCATCGAACACCTAAGAAAAACCCAAGGCGAGCTGCCAAACAGCGAAGAAACACTGAACCCCTCCCAAACGAAAAGGTTCTTTCTTCAGCGCCCCGACTGTATGCCTGCGCAGCCTTTCTTTTCTCCTCCGAGGTACGCGCGAATGTCCGCGCCATCGACCCCGTTTGCGTTCCGTCGCTCATGTGTCGGTCATGGAGCGCCATGCCCACTACTCCACTGCCCAGTGCTGGAGCATGGCGCTCTATGGACTTCGGACGGCGTTTTTTTTAACGGGCGGCCTCCGCGTGCGAAGAATCACCCGCCGCGCGCCCGGTGCAGGGGCAGAACAGGGCCTCGAGGGGCAACGACAGGGGGGGGGGGGGGGGAGGGGGGAAACCGGCGCGTGGGGCGAACATCGACCTGGAATCGGCGATGCATGGCCGATGGATCGGCGATAGGCCCCCGATGGCGAAGACGCATGGTCCCAGACTGGCGGGCGGGGTGGGCTACCGGGCCCTGTCAGCGATCGATGGTCGACTGGGGCAGGAGAGCCCAGAATCGAATCGATAAATCAAATCGGCGATCGGCATGCATCGGATCGGCGGGAATCGGCAGCCAAGTCGGGAGGAGTCGAGTCGGCAGAACTCGGCAGAGTAGTGGGCTTCATTGAGAAATCGGAATCCAAATCAGAATCCGAAATCGAATCGAATCGGAATCGGAATCCATCGAAATCGAATCGAATCGAATCGAATCGGAGGAATCGAAACGAGCCCTGGTGGGGTCGATTTACCCTCCTCTAACGTTGCCCATAAAGCGAGCGTCATGCTATTCTGCACTGGCACGGCGCCACGAACTGGCACTGGCGCCCACGGCTGCTGGCGTCGCCCTCTGGCCGCTCGGCTCCCTGCGGCCCCGCCTGGCAGGAGCGCCCAGCATAGAATCGGTAAGTCGGATCGAGACAAACATACCACTACCACCAGCTAATTAGGGGGGTGGCTGTCCCACCCTCTCGAGCTGGGGGGACCTCGTTCCGGGCATGCCTCCAGAGAGTTCCTGGAAGGAGGTGCCACCAGCTCGAGGGGAGGGAGCGGCCACCCCCAGAGCTGGTGGTCGACATGAATCGGATCGGCGGAATCGGCAGCCGAGTCGGGAAAGGTCGAATCAGCCGAAAGCGGCAGGCTAGCAGCATCCAAGTCGGGACCCGAATCGAACTCCCAGGTCCAACCGGATCGGAATCGGAAGCCACGGGGACCGCACCGCATCGCACCCGAGGTGTCGACACGAGCCCTGCGCCTGGGCCTCGGGGGCACCCGCGGGCCCGAACGCGGCGGCCACCGTGGCCGCGGCCGGGGCGGCACTCAGCAGGCCGCCCCCGGGCAGGACCGCGTCCACGCGCCAGGCCCCGGGGCGCTGGCCGGCCACGAGCTGGCCGTGGACGTCCGCGAGGCGGGCGGCAGGCCCGGCCTGTGAGGAGGAGGAGGCAGGCAGGCACGCCCGCTGCCCTTTTTTGCCCGGTCTTCGTTGGAGCTGCGCCTCGTGGGAGGCCCTCGTCGCCACGGCTCGATGCGCCTCGAGATTCTGAACGAGAACAGCGAGTAGCGGTGTTTAGAGGTCTCCTAGGTGGGGTCCGAGCAGGTGAGGTCAGAGGATCCCGCCGCATCGCCGACACATCGGCGATGGATCGGCGATGCACTGGCGACGTCGGCGATGCATCGGCGACGTCGGCATGGAGAAAATCGGGCTCAACATCGAGCCGCATCGCCGATGCATCGGCGATACGGCGCGATCCTCCGATCCCATCTACTCCGACCCCATCCAGGAGGCCTAGAGTGTTGGTTGGTTTCCCCACTACCAGGACTCTCGAGTGTTCCGCCCCGCTGGGCGTCATGAACCGCACATGGCCGCCATCAAACGACGCCTGCAGGAACAACAACGGGAAGGGTGAGGGAGCCGTGTAGGTCGAGCCCGCATCCAGCACGGGGACGTCGCACTGACCGTAATTGCTCAGCCCGCAAGTTGCGGCCGTGCCGTTGCTCCTGTTGGTGGCGAGCGAGGGGGGGACATGAGAAGGAGAAGGGGAAGGCCTTCTCAGGAGGTGCCAGGACATCTCAGGACCCCTCGCACCTTCTGGGAAAGGTTATGTGTCTTCGGGGAAGGCTCAGAAAACGTCTCAGAACTCCGGGGGGCATCCGAGCCTTCTGAGAAGGCCCGCCCCTCTCACTTCCCCGCTTCGCTAGCCGCCGATCCTGAGCAGCACACTGTGATGGAACCCGAGGACAGCTTGCGCGTAGGTCAGGCCAGCGTCCAACGCCGGGACTTCGCACTGACCATTCAGGTTCTGGCCGCAAGCCACTGCTGCGCCGTCGCTCCTCAATAAAATCGTGTGCTGCCCTCCAGCGGCAACCTGCGTGTAGGTCAGGCCCGCGTCCAGCGCCGGGACGTCACACTGACCATTCCAATTTCGGCAACGGGCCACGGCCGCGCCGTCGCTCCTGAGCAAGACCGTGTGGTGCTCTCCAGCGGCAACCTGCGTGTACGTCAGGCCTGCGTCCAGCGCCGGGACACTGCACTGGCGACTCACGTTGTCGCCGAACGCCACGGCCGTGCCGTCGTGCACGAGCAGGACCGTGTGGCCCCCTCCAGCGGCAGCCCGTGTATAGGTCAGGCCCGCGTCCAGCGCCGGGACGTCGCACTGACCATCTTGGTTCTGGCCGCAGGCGACGGCCGTGCCGTCGCTCATGAGCAAGACCGTGTGTTGCCCCCCGGCGGCAACTTGCGTATAGGTCAGGTCCTCATCCAGTGCCGGGACGTCGCACTGATCATGTTCATTCCGGCCGAAGGCAACGGCCGTGCCGTCGCTCCTGATCAAAACTGTGTGTTGCCCTCCAGCGGCAGCTTGCATGTACGTCAGGCCCGCGTCCAATGCCGGGATGTCGCACTGACCAGTCAGATTCCGACCGCAGGCCACGGCCGTGCCGTCGCTCCTGAGCAAGACGGTGTGGCCGGCGGCAAACATCTGCGAGAACCGAGGAGTAAACCACCTGCATAAACATGAACTTTCGAAAACTCCGCGGGGATGGCTCTTGGATCGGCGCTGAACCCCCACAATGGCGCCGGCCGAAGACACCGCCAATCGGCGGCGAGCGAGGGGGGAAGTGAGAAGGAGAAGGCCTTCCCAGAAGGTAGCAGGGCTTTTCAGAAGACATCGCGCCTTCTGAGAGGTTTCCTGCGTCATCGGGGAAGGCTCATAATAATTCTCAGAAGGCCGAGGGACTCCCGAGCCTGAGAAGGCCCGCCCCTTTTCGCTTCGCCCCAAGGCTCGCCGCCGAGCCAAGGGGGCCAAGCGACGACTCAACACATCCGCGCGGACCTCCGAGAATTTCTGCTCATGCATCTGGTTCTGCTTCGAAGCCAGCCGGCACGGGGGCCTCTCCCCGTGGCGCCGGGGGCCGGGGAGCCTCGAATCTCGAGCCGGGAATCCGTTGGGATTTCTTGGGTCGGCACTCGGATTGCTTGGATCGGCACTCGGATCCCCCCCCCCCCCCTGGTGTGAGGAACGCGCCAGAGGCGGCGCCGGATGCGCCGCCGGGAGGTCCAGCGCAGACCTAAGAAATGTGCGCGCACCTCGGACCGGTTATGTAGGCACTGGGCATCGATGAGCCAAACCCCAACTCCACTGGCGTTGCACGGGCCCCACTGACGGATTCGCCCGCTGGGATGGGGATATAGGCTGTTCCATTCGGGTTTCGAGGGGCATATCCCCAATTGCGGTGGTAAGATGGTGGGGATCGGGATCGGGATCAAGATGGGGTCAGGGATCGGTTAAACGATACTGAGACATGCCGCTCTCTGTCAATCGCTCCAGCGGTTTCCTCCCCTCCCCCCCTCAGCGGTTTCCCCCCTCATCCCCATGGCTCCCCTCCCCGACAGTGCGGGCTCTCTCGCGCGGTCCCCAGCGTAGGGGCCGGGGCTCCCGAGCTCCCGCTCCTTGGCCACTGCTTAAAATATTCCGCCAACACCCATTGCAAAGAGCAATACAATATACACTTTGTTGCGCCAAATTCTCGATCATGCGCGAACGCCACACTATCATTTTGTATGTTTTTTGGCAGGGACGGCGGGGTGGCCAGCATATTGCCTGTGGTGTGCAATGCCATCATCCGCACCCTGCGTGTTTGACAATGATGGTGGGGCGGTCGACCCATTCCCCAACGTTGCGCACCTGGTGCGCGTGGCGCACCTGGCACGTGCGGCGCCCCTTGCGGGCATCGCACACCTGACTGGCGTCTGCATTGGTTCCCAATGGTTGTCGATGGCGGCCCCTGCCGGTGCTGAGACTCGGGTGCTACTGATGCAGTGGGAGGACGGGCGGGAGTGAGCGACGCGGCCTGCGGCTTGGGGTGGGTTGGTCACTGCTCCAGACAAGAGTACACCCAGAGGACACTGAAAAAACAAATGCAAAGCACACTGAAAAGGACAATGAAAAACAGTGCAATGAACACAGGAAAATGAAAAAACCCAGGACAATGAAACCCAGGACAATGAAAATCCGACTGGCGACAAACCCAGGACAATGAAAGAACAATGCAGAGCGCACTTTGCGGCAGCATCTTCGGTCATGTTCGGGGGGCCCGCGAGCACCTCGTGCTGTTCTGTTGGCCGGAGCAGCGGGGGTGCAAAGCGTACGCCCTGCGGTCCCCTACCCCTGGGTCTGGATGTGGGGCCCCGCGAGCGGTCAGAGGGCCCAGGATAACCCAAGATGGCTTCAAGAGGGCCCCAGGCAGCCTAAGAAGGCCTCCAGGATTTGCTGTTGGCTCTACCTTGGGCCCTCTTGGAGCCCAAGAAGGCCTCCAAGACGGCTCGAGATGATCCCTCTCCAGCGCATGTACACGTCGGTCGGAAGAAGTAGATAACGACATGAAGTAGGAAGACGGATAAAGTAGATTGGGTTCAGGCCCCCCCCCCAGAGAACAACAGAACACAGCAATCGCATATCGATTCTTGGAATATGGAGGCGCTTGAAATAACACTTGGGATCCGGGGAATCCCAAATACAAATGTTCGACGACCGGCGTGCATTTGGGGAAAGGAGGAGCAGGCAGGAGGGGGCGGTCGCGCAGTGCCAACACGTCCACGACTGCCCTCTGCAGGGAGAGCTGGCAGGTCCGTTACCAGCCATCGCTCGGACGTCGATTCCCCGTGCATGTTTCGGTTTCGTGCGTTCTTGTTTTTTCCGCAAGCTGAGCCAGGATGTTCCTCGACGGTCCTCGCCGAGGAATAGGCATCCATTCGACCCGTTCGAGCGATGCCAAGATTCGGCTGCGTCCCTGAGACGTGTGGCTCAGGCTCAACAAATGAGACTCGTTTCGTCGCAGCGCGGCAGGAGCGAATCGTACGCGCGCTCGAGTTAGATTGGAGAGGGGGAACTGATTCCTCGAAAAATGGCAGCCGCAGAAGAAACAACTGATGGGGAGGAAGAGAAACAAGCAAGGCCATGGAGAGCAGACATTGGCGTTGTGTGTGCATCTATCCCAATGCGGCTCCAAGATGGTTCAAGACAGCGCAATGTCGAACAGGATGGCTTACAATATACTCAAAGAGGTTCCAAGACAGGTCTAAAAATGGTCCAATCGGCCCTGCCCTCCCGACGCCCTCAAGAAGCCCACATCCTTCCCAAACGTGCAGCAATGCAATGAGGTTTGTCTTCTCGCCTGGTCGCTTCCGATGGTCATCCGAGACCGAAAAGTGGCTCCAGGATGGCACAATAGAGACCCAAGAGGGGCCCAGGAGGGCTCCCAGACAGCATCATAAGCGGTTTTAGGGATGTTAGAAAGACAGCGCAACAAGATGCTTCCAATAGTGCCTCCAAGCCTTCCAAGAGGACCCCAAGAAAGCCCCGAAAGGCCCCTAAGAGGCCCCCGAGGGACCCCCAAGATGCCCCCAAGGGGCCCCAAGAGGCCCCCAAGAGGCCCCCAAGAAGCCCCAGAGAAGACCTATGATGCCATCAAGAGACCCGCAAGAGACATCCCAAGCGACTCTAAGAGGTATCCAAGAGGTCTCTAGTCACTGAGGCTCCCCGAGGTGTCAAAATTATGCCACGCTCCCCCGATGAGGGCAGGCCTTCTCAAAGGCGGCGGGAATCCTCAGAAAGCCTCGCGCCTTCTGATAAGTTTCCAGCCTTTGGGATTCTTTCGTCTTAAGCTGGGCTTTCTTGGAGAGAGCTACACATCCTGTCACGCGACTTAATTCACAGAACGCCAGGATCAAGTGCTCACCTGCTGTGCGCACTGTACAACAGAAGCCGTGTGCAACGCCCCGAGTGGACCGACGACTCCGCCACACCGCACGGGGTAATGGGCGGAAGCGACAGCAACACGGTAAATTTCTCCGAAGGCCAGGGGACTTCCCAACCTTCTGAGAAGGCCCGACACTCCTCACTTGCCCTCTAGCTCGCCGCCGATGCGTGTCGTGAATCCTGATTCGTCATCCTCCCCCTCCTCCTCCTCTTCCTCCTCCTCCTCCTCCTCCTCCTCCGCGTCTGTTGCCGGGCTTCTTGGGTTTTTTTCTTCGAGGCCTGACGGGCTCGCCGCCGAACTGGGCATCGCTCCTGGATGGGCCCGTGGGGATGCGCGCGAGCCGCTCCGAATGTCAGGGCGGGCCGCGGCCGCGGCTGCGGGAAACCCGCCTGGAGGCGCAGAAGAGCAAGAGGAGACGCTCCCGAGTCGGGAGCGGTGTTTCTTGCCCTTTCTGCGGGGGGGGGTCCCACCCATGTCCAGAGTCCGGGCATGTTGTCTTGGATCCCACCCCCACATCGAGCACCATGTTGGCGGCGCGCACAAGGGGGTAGGGGGAAGGTGCGAAGGCTTCTTTAGAAGGGAAGAAGCGGCATAAACATAAACTTTTGGCGTTCCGCGCTGATTTCTTGGATCCGCGCTGGGCCCCCTCCCTGGCGCGCGGAGCGCGCCAGGGGCGGCGCTGGAGGCGCCGCCAGGGGGTCCCAGCGCAGATCCGAGAAATCCGCGCGGACCACCACAAGTCTATGTGTATGCCGTTATTTTTTCGTTCAATTGTTAAGAGGCTGTTTCTCAAAAGGCGCCGTCCTTACATTTATAGAGAAGGCCCGCGCCTTCTGAGAAACCAGGGTGCTTCCAAGAAACCTTCCCCCCTCCCCCCGACCCTCCTTTTTTTGCGCGTGGCTGACCATGAGCGCGCAGCAGCAACTGGCAAGGGTGGGGTTCTCAGAAGTCCCCCTGCCTTCACAAGAGCACCGCCGCCCTCTAAAAACCCACCCGCCTCGCGCCAACCAGCCCGTTGTGGGCGCCGCTGAAAAATTCAGATGGGCGACGACAAGGAAACGGGTCTTACGCGAGATGACGTAGCGACCTTACGCGGCGGCTTACGCGGGCCGCCACCGCGGCAAGTCACCTTGTAGACGAAGGCCCTTACGCGCGACCTTACGCGGGCAGCTTACGCGCCAATGTCGGCGCAAACGACCCTGCTTTTTGCGTCGCTCAAATGGCGGATTCCGGGCACCCTGAACACAAACACGCTTCCATTTCTTGCGGGTGCATATTTTCATTCTGCCGCCTTCCGCCGGCTTTCTGGCGCCGCGTTCTACTTCCGCCGACCTTCCGCCGAGGAAGCGATGACATGATGACTCTTGTGCCAAAGAGGCTGCGGAAAGGGTAGCGTAACAGGCTGTTGTTCAAACGTTTTTGAAAACGTTATATCTACGGTTTCCCTCAACACGCCCTCGAGGTCGCCAGGTCCACTCTGGAACCAGACCTCGGAAGGGAACGCTATCCGAAACAGCTTCTAAAATGGAATCGGGATCGCTAAGCCACTGAGGCCTGTCCCCCCTCAAAAACTTCATCCTCCTACACAAGCGGGCAACCTCCTCATTCACGTCTTTTCTCACCCGCCCGGGCTCGAGCCTCTGTCTCCCCACGAGCGCACCAAGCCGACCACCTTCGGGAATTTCTCCAGCTCCTCCCTGGGCATCGGCTTGGTCATCAA